CTAACAGGTACAAGAAAATGGCCGTGCGTAGTGAGGTGAGTGACCACAAAATTGAAGGCTGCCTGTGGCAGAGGCACTATTGCGTAAAGCGCAAAGGCCTCTGGGATGGAGATTGAGGACGCAGGTAACTAGTAATCGCCATATTGTTCCATTTAGGCCGGTTCTCCGGCCGGAAGAAACGTGACTGAGGGACGCAATTTGAAAACATTCAAAGTAACGTTCTGCGTAAACGTGACTGTAATACTATTATATTGCATTGTAATTGAGTTTAATTAAACATCAATTAAAACGCAACCATATAAAGGAACGTGTGAACCTTTTTATTACGGGGATGGTTATTTTAGATTTCGGTTATTGTTATTCACAAAAATATTGCACTTAGTACAGTTTGCAAGTTGTTCATATAAGCTGCGGACTTGTTCATATTTCACACTCACTGGACTTAGGTGATTGATTGGTTCCTCGAGCGTCGCCTGAACACGCTCAATCAACTGCAGCCCCAAACACGCCGCAAGCAGCAGTAAGAAGCCTATCCCAAGATATAAGGGCGCGGTTTGCGGCGATTAACGACGTAGATAGACATACATTCATTTTGCAGGGAAACGTTACTCAATCGCGACGTTCGTACAGGGAAATTCAATATCAGTCATATTACACTCTATAGCAACAAGTATCCAAGTACTATAACGACAATTAACCTTAGAGAAAAATTGCCTCCTAGATCTCGTTGAGAGAGAAAGAATCACGCGACTTTAGTGTCTTGTCTCTGAAATAGTGTGTCCTGTCACCCATCCACTGATTAAAATACTGGTTACACGGGTCAGGGAAAGCTAAATACCGATTTAGAGAAGAAAGTATTGTATGCAAAGCGCTGTAAAAAAGAAATCTTGCTTATTCAATAAAAATAAAAATGGTCAGATACATACTGCGAAAAATTTTGAATGATTTCAACAGGGCGACCCCCGCAAATACCACCTATTAGGTATATGTTCAACCCGCATTCACATGACCGGTATTTCAACGTTTTAAAAGTTGCCTGCCTATACTCAGATCACACAACTACGCTTTTTGTTTGTCTAGGGGGAATCATCACTGCCGAAGATCTAGAAATGTACGCAACGAAATTGAAAACCCCACTAAAGCTGACAATGGGTGACCTTGCATTATACTCTCCCTCCCCACCCGCGGGTGGCGCTGTTCTTTCCTTCATTATAAATATCTTGCAAGGTGAGTTACCAACTAAAGTTGCGTCCTAGTGAATCCGTCGGTGACAGTTCCAACTATCACAGAGACCCAGGAATGGTTCATATTCCGACACAAACATATCTTCAGTTATGTCAAGCTGGGTTATATTCGAATTTCAGTTATATTCGTATTACGTAACTCTGCTCTAATACTAATACTAATACTATCCAATACACATGTCACATTTACGATTGTGTTACAGGATATAATTTCACCAGAGAGAGTCTCATAGACGTACCAAATGCTGTTACCACGTATCACCGAATCACAGAGGCATTCAAACATGCGTTTGCTCACAGAACAGAACTTGGCGACGAAGACTTCGTTGAGACTGTCGATGAGGTGAACACGTAATTGCTATAATAATGCAAACTAATACGAATTTCCCAAACAATTGACTATACAGATACCCACTCTCAATCGTCCTCCATATTTTGCGAAAATCACACGACTTGCGCCCTCTAACGATTGCTGCGGACCAAGTATTTTGGTTAACGTTACGTTTATTCAAATTAGATTCTCGTATAATCCAAACTTAGTGAGTCAGTTGAGCGTGAAAATGAAACAAATCAGATTGACGGTACAGCAAAGCACGAGAACGCAGTGTGTCAACTGGTCAGTAATCGTGTCAATATGGCGGTCACCGTATCAATAACCTGGTCACCATGTCAATATTAGATTCTTCATGCCAATTTGGGAGGGAGAGGGCAGCATGCCAGCATGACCGCAATCGTACCAACATGGCAGTCAATCTGTCAGACATATTGCTTTGTCAGTTATAGACCATCTACTACTGTTTTGTTGGTTATAGACCATCTACTATTGTTTTGTCGGTTATAGACCATCTACTATTGTTTTGTCGGTTATAGGCCATCTACTATTGTTTTGTCGGCTATAGAACATCTACTATTGTTTTGTCGGTTATAGGCCATCTACTATTGTTTTGTCGGCTATAGAACATCTACAATTGTTTTGTCGGCTATAGAACATCTACTATTGTTTTCTTACTTATAGACCATCTACTATTATTTTTTGGTTATAGGCCATCTACTATTGTTTTGTCGGTTATAAACCATCTACTATTGTTTTGT